GATGATGATGATGATGATGATGATGATGATGATGATGATGATGATGATGATGACACAAGTCTCTGTTCTCTATTACTGACGTACCACGTCCGTGGCGTTAGTGTCCGCGTTCATCTTGATGAGGGCACTGCACACCTCCCGTTGACCGTTCTGAGCTGCCATGTGAAGGGACGTCTTCTTGGCCTGTAGACACACACAGACATATTATTATAAGGTCGCTTTTAAGCACAAGGGGGCCATCCTGAAAAATGCTGTTTTGAGAAAATCGAAGGTAAAGTTTTTGCCCCTTGCTCAGTTTCTTTAAAAGACAAGGAAAGATTTATCTATAACCAAACAAATATATATACACAACAATTAAACCAAACTTCTCCAATAGATAGGGAAATACCCACTTTTGGCGTAGGTCAAGATTTCTGGAAACCCCCTGAAATCTGGGTTAGGTCGCTTGTCCTTTAAAAAAAGCGACCGTATGTCACATGGTACAGGGTGCCCAAAAGGGAGGGGGGGGGATGAGACTATTATGCTCAGTTTAAGTACGAGTTATACCGCACTTGTCACACCATAATAGTGCTGAAGAGTAGAGGTATTACTAGAGAGTAAGAAACACAAGAAAAAAAGGAAAGGGGAGTGTAGCGGTTATAAAAATTATGCTTCTCCATCACACACAGGAGACCTAATAAGTTCGATTCCCCTGTAGGAAGAATCGTTATTATCTCGGTCTTTCTACAAGGATTTTGTATCCCTCTCAGCCAGGGTCGTCCCTGACAGGCACCGACGAAACCCGCTTCGTAGATTATCTATTTTTTTCTTGAATGGGCTGTTTTCTTGGAGGGTGGTTGTAAACGCCTTCATTGAAAAAGAAAGACACAGGATGTGTGAAATGGGGATAGAGAGGGGAGAAGGAAGAACGGAACGGTTATCTGGAAAGGAAAGGCGTCGCCATAATCAGACAGCCACAGGAACAATCAGTATGGATACCTTGCGGGCTTTGGTGCTGGGATGAACTGAGCACTTATGGACCTGTCCGGTGTGCAATGATGTTGTTGCCCAGGACAGGTAATACAGAAAGAAACATGGGGGAGGGAAAAA